TTGGTGGGGAGTTTAAAGAGGCTAACACGCGTGTCTATGCCAAGGATAATCGAAAGGGATGAATAGTATAAGCCGATGAGATGGACGGAACTCAAACAATCTATTAAGGAATGGACTAACCAATTGGGCAGAGTATAGGTGAATAGAGTGAAAATGCTCTCACCAGTCGAAAAATCTTATGTCCCCCAGTGCTCAAGTAATGCGGGTAATTATAGCACATGATCAGAATAGATCGGCATTCTAACACTTGCACCAACCTATAATTGTCTTGACTGTGGCGATACCAGTAACTGCTAACCACAAGCCACGTATCCCATCATTAACTAGGTAGATGTGATGTTTTCCCCAAACACAACATAGACACGGCTCTGGGGAGAATGTGATAGCCAAGGTGAAAAGGGGCTCCCAAAGTTAATGATCGCGACTAGTCACTGGGGGAGCATGACCTTGAGAGGGCCATGTATGCAATGCCCCCAACGTGCTCTTACCTGAGATTCTCCTTCTCCTCATTGAACCCTTCCTTGAGATCTTTGTCGAGGTATTTGATAGAGGAAACTCTCATAGTTTCAGTCATTCAACCACGAATCCACATGTCTAATTATCTCATATGTTGGTCCAGACCAATAACCCCAGATACCTTAGGAGTCCCTCCAAACTCCAATCAAGCATATCCAAATGGCCAGTGAATCATAAATTGGGAGGCCTACTTGAACAGACTAAACCTTTGAGACCCTGCCCTACGCTAAGGTTGACAATCATACTCGTCTACCCCCGTTGCTTAATTCTCCCGAGAGGAGGTTCATACTGCCTTGTCCCTAGGTGGGAACCCCTCCTCTAGTCTAGTGGGCCAATCGAGTAACAGTGTCTAGTAGGTTAAGGATACCAATTCCGTCGATTGTGGAATCCCAGCCTTGTGTAATGTTTCCACAGTGAGGGAGGCGAGTCACACCAAGGTTGTCCTTAGACCTTTGCGGTGCTGTTTTTCCATTTCCAATGTGATGAGGATATGTCCTATCCTTTTGCAATGATGGTGTTTGCTACAACACTGGAGTACCTGTTGCAACCGTAATGTGCATGTCGCAACACTAGGCACCTATCTCGACACTGGGTTCTATCGTGGCAGTGTTGTCCATACCAATCCTGTTGGACCGTGTCGGGCCCCACTGCCATGTCAAGTGATAATTCTTATCATTTGTCCTTCTATGATGTGGACACTTGTCCTGAATTTATTGGGTACTACAACAACATTCTTTAGTATTTTCCTTTAACAATCTTCTGCCCAAGTGAATTATTGTTTTGAGTAACTTATTATGATACACTATCATATACGATTAAGCAATTATCTTTAATGTATATATTATCAAAAATTTTCAAATTATGGAAGAGTTCAAAAAGGAATGCAGCTTTGAGAATTTAGTCACACATTTAAAGCATACGAAAGAAAAAAAAAATAGCAAAATGTTAGAAACTTAATATTGCTACCTTTTGAATTCACTACACTACTAAAATCTTTTATTTCTTTTTTTTTTTCCTAAAATGAAAATGCCCTGCCTTATCTATACTCGAATTACAAATATAGTACGTGTGTGAATGAGTTGAGACCTAATCTATAGATAATATGGTAGCCAAGTCATTAAAATATAATTAATTTGAGATACCATTTGTATTCTACCCTATCTATAGTTCATTGAAATGGTTATGTATATTGGTGTGCATGTATGCACCATGCTATCTAGGTTAAATAAAATAATCTAACACATGAACAATAGATGAGATAAGAGCAATAATATGAACTAAAATAATTAGCATTTTTAATAACGGTATGTGGTCAATAGCAGTAAAATGCTCATGACCAGAAAGAACAATATCTAAATTGGTAGAAATATAGCTTGTGGTAATAACTAAATAAATTACAATATGAGTATATCTATATAAATAGGAAAGCCAACAAGTAATTCAAATCTTGATAAAACAGAGTGGTGAAATATGCTTGATTCTACCACCTTTGATAAACCCTCTTTTAATTTATGCAATGTAAGTAGCATTATCTTTATATAAGGCTGTTGATGAATTTATAATCAAAGGAAGCCTGCAAGTACCTCAGATTTGACAGACTGTGGACCTTAGCCATACACATTCACGACTCACTTCATGGAGTACAAATATCTCAGAATGATTAGAAGATGTAGCAATCAAAGTCTACTTAGTAGATCGCCATGAGATCGTTGTGTCACCACATGTGAAAATATACCCAGCTTGTGAACAAGTCTTGTGGGAGATTTGATAGTATCTAGAATCTGCATATCCAATTGACTGTGGACCATTGGCTAATTGCTTTGAGTACAACAAACTCAAATCTGTAGTTCCACGAAGATAGTGTAGGTAATGTTTTGTGTCATTCTAATATCGTCGAATTAATGCATAACTAAATCTTGTTAACAAGTTGATTTGTAAATGTTATATCAAGTCTATTACATTGTGCTAAATATAACAAAGTACCAATTGCACTTAGATATGATACTTTAGGACTAATAATCATTTCATTTTCATCCTTAGGACAAAAGGGTCCTTATTGACATCAAGAGATTGAACGACCATTAGAGTACTTAATGGATATGTTTTATCTATGCTAAACCACTTCAAGACCTTTTCAGTATAGGTTGTTTCATGAATAAAAACTCTATTTATCATATGTTTGATCTGCAGGCCGAGACAATACTTTGTTTTTACAAGATCTTTCATCTCAAATTCTTTTTTCTAATCAGATTCATATCATCAACATATACTGCAATAGGGACAAATCCAGATTCTGATTTCTTAGTAAATACACATAGACATATGAGATTGTTAACATATCTTTCTTTTACCAAGTACTCACTGAGACGATTATAACACATTCTTCCAGATTGTTTCAATCCATATAAGTATCGTCTTGGCTTAATTAAGTATATGTTGCGTGGTTTTGATGTGCTTACTTTAGCCAATTGCAATTCTTCAAGGACTTTCATATAAATATTAGTATATAACTTTTCATATAAATATGCAGTAATAACGTTCATAAGACGTATGTCGAGTCCTTCTGAGACTGCTAGACTAATAAGATATTGACATATAATTGCATCAATTAGTACTGAGTATATTTTTTCGTAATCAATCCGTGATCTCTACAGGAACCCTTGAGCAACTAAATGTACTATATATCGCATATTTATTTATTTTTACTTTCATATAAATACCTAGTTATATCCAATGGGCTTTACATAAAGTGTTAGACTATGGGTCCAATTTAACAACTTTTGATGTTTTAGAACTATAGGTCTGTATTTACATTTTCAAGTATATTGGACTGTGGGTCCAATATTTTGTATTTTGTTAATAGACTCAAGTGAATTGTTTTCTTCCACTTTGACCAATCATTCTATGTCGACAATCATATATTGTGCACGATTCAAAATCATCCCCATTTTGGATTTCAGTAGCTACTATATACTTGATAATCATTTTTTTCCAATCCCACACCTCATCTATGTATACATACTTAATCGAAATTTATTCATTTGTAAATATTTATATCTCTTCAGGAGTTTGTCTCACTTCAGAGACTTTTTCCTCTTTGGGGGATATCATTTGAGATGATGTGGGTGCGTCTTTATTCCCTAATTCAACAACTTTTTCAAGAGTTATATGTGATTTCTGTTTTAATCTCCTCTTTTGGGGAGCAGAAGTTTTTTGAACTCATGGGTCGTCCATNAGATTCTGATTTCTTAGTAAATACACATAGACATATGAGATTGTTAACATATCTTTCTTTTACCAAGTACTCACTGAGACGATTATAACACATTCTTCCAGATTGTTTCGATCCATATAAGTATCGTCTTGGCTTAATTAAGTATATGTTGCGTGGTTTTGATGTGCTTACTTTAGCCAATTGCAATTCTTCAAGGACTTTCATATAAATATTAGTATATAACTTTTCATATAAATATGCAGTAATAACGTTCATAAGACGTATGTCGAGTCCTTCTGAGACTGCTAGACTAATAAGATATTGAAATATAATTGCATCAATTAGTACTAAGTATATTTTTTCGTAATCAATCCGTGATCTCTACAGGAACCCTTGAGCAACTAAATGTACTATATATCGCATATTTATTTATTTTTACTTTCATATAAATACCTAGTTATATCCAATGGGCTTTACATAAAGTGTTAGACTACGGGTCCAATTTAACAACTTTTGATGTTTTAGAACTATAGGTCTGTATTTACATTTTCAAGTATATTGGACTGTGGGTCCAATATTTTGTATTTTGTTAATAGACTCAAGTGAATTGTTTTCTTCCACTTTGACCAATCATTCTATGTCGACAATCATATATTGTGCACGATTCAAAATCATCCCCATTTTGGATTTCAGTAGCTACTATATACTTGATAATCATTTTTTTCCAATCCCACACCTCATCTATGTATACATACTTAATCGAAATTTATTCATTTGTAAATATTTATATCTCTTCAGGAGTTTGTCTCACTTCAGAGACTTTTTCCTCTTTGGGGGATATCATTTGAGATGATGTGGGTGCGTCTTTATTCCCTAATTCAACAACTTTTTCAAGAGTTATATGTGATTTCTGTTTTAATCTCCTCTTTTGGGGAGCAGAAGTTTTTTGAACTCATGGGTCGTCCATGCTTCAAGCGTGTAGTTGATAATTCATTTACTGTCATGGATTTTTCAATTGGAACATCAATCTCTGTCAGAGTGTTTATAGCTAGAACATAAGACTTGGTTACTCTTGCTACATCAGTAAATGCATCAGGAAACTGATTAATAATTGTTTAGAGGTGAATAATCCTTTGTACTTCAGTTTTACATTGAGAAGTGTGTGGATCAAGATGAGACATAGTTTTTGAAGTCCAAGAAAGCTTACACTGTGCTTTAGCAGGCGACATATTTTCTCCCCCTAATGGTGAGAGTACTGTCTCATCAAAATGATAATCTACAAATATTTCAGTAAAAATATCTCCTGTTAATTGTTCAAGATACCTAATAATTGAAAGTGAATCATACCCAACATAAATTCCTAGTCGACGTTGTGTACCCATCTTAGTGCAGTGTGGGGGTGCAATTGGGACATATACAAAATAGCCAAATGTTCATAAGTGAGAAATATATGGGGTTGACCAAGTATGAGTTGTACTAGAGAGTATTGATGGTAAACAGTTGGTCGAGTACGAACTAAGGTTGCTGCACTTAATATTGTATGTCTCCAAGCATAAATTGATAACTTTGTTCTCATAAGAAAAGGTTGAGCAATCAACTGAAGTTTTTTGATAAGAGACTCAGCTAAACTATTTTGGGTATGAATGTGAGCAACTGGATGCTCCACATCAATCCTAATAGACATATAGTAGTCATCAAATATTTGAAATGTAAATTCAACGACATTATCAAAACTAATTGTCTTGATTGGATAATTTGAAAATTGTGCTCGTAATCAAATTATTTGGGCAAGAAAACAAGAAAAAGCAACATTCCAAGTAGATAATAAAGAAACATGTGACCATCGTGTTGAAGCATCAATTAAAACCATAAAACATTGAAATGGTCCACATGAGGGGTGTATAAGTCTACAAATATCTCATTGATTCTTTGTAGAAAGGTTGGGGATTCAACATTGACTTTTGTGAGAGATAGTCTAAAAACTAATTTTTCTTGTGAACTAGCATTATATGTGTAATCACTTGGCAAAATAATCTTTTTGGTTTTTTAGAGGATGTTCATGTGAATTATTGATGATTTGACGCATCATTATTAACCCAGGGTGGCCAAGTCGATCATGCCAAAGTACAAAAAGTCTTTGAATTAGAGAGCTTATGGCTCATAACATTGTTTGATTCAGTTGTTCTTATGGTTGTACATTGCAACCCAGAGGAGAAAGTAGGAAGTTTCTCTAATATATGCTTCAAGCCAGAAACAATTGAAGTAATATAAAGATATTTTCATTAT